AGGGCCCCTCAGGTGTCTATCATAAACTATTGTCCCTAACCCAACCTCATTTTGACTCTGTAACATACTGTAATGCTTAAGTACCAATCCCAGGGTTAACTAACATTCCAAGCCAGCTAATCATCTTGCTGTTATGCAATGCTGAGCTGGAAAACCCATCAGAGGTGACTGATGTATTACAAGTACACAGTAAGTAAGCCTTTCCATTCATTAACAAGGATTAGCTAACAAAGGCATGTTCAAAGGCAGGGAAAGATCATTAGGAAACTGCAAGGCAAAGAAAATAATAGTGCAGGGGAAAAAATAAAGTATATGGTCTAGATCCTCAGCTAGGTGAGATAAGCTCTTATGGAGCTACTACCATTTATACCAGTTTGGTATCTGCCCCATACTTAGGATTTTTTTTCCTTCAAAGCTTGTTGTTTGTGGCTATTGTGGCCCTTTATCTTCCAAGCAACTAGATGGAGGGAAGGGAGAAGAAATGCTATATCTCTGCTCTCTCACTAATAGGAAGATGGGAAAGGATGGTCAATACCCTCCTACATTCCAATTGCCAGGAGCACAGATGACAAAGAGACAAGAATGCGGCAGTGAGCCACAGGCTATTGTACAAAATCCTACCACTGACCTTCAATTCCTGCATTATGAAGCTGTGTCAATATGTGGGGTGCCTTTGAGGCCTTGTCTACATTAAGCTGGTTCAGATGGCAGAAGTTCCAGCAGCAAATAGCAGCAGCTGCTGCCTGGCTGCCAGAAAGCATTCACAGCCTTACACTTCTGGTACCTCCACCCAGCTTCACTGCAGCAGCTGTACTAGCAGAGTGTAACTACAGGAAGGGACAGACAAGCGTCTTTGGGTAGATGTGATATCTTTGATTAGACCAATAAAATAGTTGGAAAATTGTTCTTTGCAAGCTTTTGGGCACAAACACCCTTCTTCAGTTGAAAGTTTTAAGTTCAAAGAATCAGCTGAAGAAGCTTTTGTGCCCAAAAGTTTGCGAAGAACAATTTTTCCAACTATTTAATTGGTCTAATAAAAGAAAGATATCACACCTACCCAAATAACCTTGCCTGCCTATATTCTTAGACCAACATGGCTACAACTAACCACCCTGGAAAGGGAGCACTAAAGAAGGTAGAAGGCACGGGAGCATCTACATGTGCCTTCTGTTGGGTATTGCATCATCGCAGAAACCTACTATCATTCAACAAAAATGGGGATTCAACTGCTATAGAGAAGCTTTGAGTATGGATGCATTCAAAGCTCCGACAGCCTGACAGTGTAGTATAAATTAGGTCACCGTAATGCAACTCAAAAATCATGCTATAAAGGCTGTACAAAGACAGGAGGAAGTTACTGTAAAAGTATCAGCAATTTGTGGCTCCTTTCTAAGGTAGGTGGAGAAGGGGCTGAGTCACTAGGTGAATCAAACACCCTTTTATGGCACACAGTCATGATCAGTCTTTTGCAACTTTCCAATCTCTACCAATCAGATGTCAAGGAGCTGCACACCACAAACGCCTGCAGCTGCTGGATTGGACATGTCACCTGTGCTTAGTCACGCCTGCTCATCCAACAGGTACCATAATAAGACCTGGGAGGTGAGCCCAGTCCCAGGGTATGGTCTGAGTTCTGTGTGCCTGACTCAGCAACAGGTGCATTCCAATCTAGATTTAGCAGCTTAAGTTACACACCCCTTCACATCTGATCCCTGCAAGAAGAAGAAGAAACCATTCCCAATTAGGCGAGACTTGGACAGAGTGTTCCGTGGGACAAATTCAACCTATTTTCCTGTTTTAAATTGTCCATTGTCTGTTTGATCAGGGTGTGCCCTCAGAGAACAGCATCAAAATGCACAGGAGAAATCCAACCTGGTCAGACAGAAGAAACTTGGCTGAAACATCCTGTTGCAAAAGTAGAAAAAATGAATGATTCCAAGAAAAAAGTTTTAAGCTCAAAGAATCAGGACACAAGAAAGGTCAAATTCTACTCAGCATGGTTCTCCTGAGCTAGGCTGATAGACACCAGCTGAGCACCAGGCCCAGTGTGCTTAGGAAGCAGGAGGAAGGGGGATAAAAAAAATAAGACATTACCTCTTAGCCAAAAAGATTACTGTTACTCACAGGGAGAGAAATTCAAAGATGAAACAGTGTTTAACCTTTGCTGAGCATTTAGCTCACTGGCTTTCAACCTTTTTGGACTCGAGGAACCCATCACTGGACTTGAGGCATCCTTCCATAACTTTTGTGAATTGAGTGGCACCCAATTTCAAAAACTAATTTATATATTACAGTGTTAATCTCCTTGCAGAGCGGCTGGGCAGTGGGGGGGGGGGATTACCCAGGCTGTACCTATGTACCTCCTCACGCTTAGCTCCTCACAACTGAACCCTTCGAAGGATCTGGGGGTACCCAAGAATGCCCTGGCATCCTAGTTTAGAATGACTGGTTTAGCTCTTGTCTGCCAGTGGAATCAGAAGAAGAATGCTCAGCGTTAGCCTGCCTACCACTAATAAATGGCTTTGCACAGGGAATGCATTCTTCGGCATGGTGATATACCATTTACTTTTCTCTGTTGAGTGGATTTAGAGGTGGTCTTTGTGCAGGTAAATGTTTCCTTGGTTTGATCTCTTCTACCTACCTTCACTTCCCTTAGCAGTGCCCCTTCCTCTCCTCTCCATTTCCCTATCCTTTGTATATAAATGGCCTTTCAATTTACTGTCCCTGCTCTCTACAAGTCCATTTATTCATTGCATCTGACAAAGCAGGGTCTAGCCTATGGTGTGCCTCTCTGAATGAGGTGATCTAGTCTATAAGGTGCCACCTTGTCTTCCTTCTGCAAGACAGCATTCAACTTAAGATCTAGTGCGCCTGTTATGGACTTTGCTGAACCTACAGTTTGAATTCACAGGGTAGATCTTCAAACACTGCACCGTAAAAGGGCTGTGCAAAAATGAACTAATTCTCATGGAAGTGCACACTGCAGTGTTCCACTTTTTGCCACATC